ATTACTGTAGTTTTTGTAGTTTTCAACAAAAATGGCTGGTTAACAAACTTAGCCTTCATTTTAACATCAATTTTAAGTGTGTTAAATTTAAAAAAGGTCCGATAATTTTTTTGTCTACAGACAGACAGAAAGACCTACAAACAGACGCAATCGCCGGACCATGTTTATTGGATTCAGGGGACCCCAAAAAGTGAAGATTTCATAAAATTAGCGAAAGTCAATTTTCGACCAAAACTAATTCTTTCTCATATGATGAGAATGTAAAAATGTTTGTTTTAAATCTTTTTTAATTATTATTTAATAAAAGTAAATTAATAGAAAGAAACCGACAGATTAGCTCAGTCGGATAGATGCCTCGCTTGGAGGTCGTTTAAGTACCGAGGGTATAAGCACCCTCGGCTCTTGTCGAAGTGCGTAAGGCCAATAGGGCAGGAGTATAAACAATAAATAAAAAAAAATAAATAAATAATAGAAAGACTCAGATTATTGTAAAACATTTAATCCACTTTTTTAATAAATATGAATTACTGCCAATAAACTCCCACATAATATTTATAAATGTGATTTCTGGAAACAATTCAACAATATTCTCAATTAATATTAAAAGAATTTATATGTTTTTAATGATCATTGTAAGTTATATCAACGTAAGTATTTATTGTGAATATTCCTTAAATATAGGATTACAATTTTCCGTGAATATTATTCAGGAAAGTTCAAGGAATATTTCTCATGAATATTCCTTGAACTTACCTAGGGAATATTCTATATTCGCGGACATTTACCTACTTCCGTGAACCTTCCTGTAATATTCTTTGGAAGGTTCCGAATATGCCAATGGAATATTCCAGGAAGGTTCTTGGAATATGTTGTGCTGTCTGGGCTATCTTATACTAAAAATATTGTTAATTTTTTAAAAAATATATTATACTTTTTAAACCTGAATAAATGCATATACACTTATTTATGTTTCAAAAATCTTCCACGTGAAATATTAAGGAATATTTCTTATTTTTTTTTTTTTTTTTTTTTTAATTGTTTATACTCCTGCCCTATTGGCCTTACGCACTTCGACAAGAGTCCCCGAGAAATACTTTTTTGGATTAAGCATAACCATTCTACTTTAGAAATCTTCTATATATTAACCTAATTTTGCGTCTACAGCCGACTTTATTAGGAGTACTCGCATTACGCCTGGACCACCCGTCAATGGGTTTTCTCGCCAGAGAAGAGGGAAACTGTAGAAAACCTCTCTGAGTACAACTGGTTTATCGACAGTCGAGTTCTAATGGTGTGTACCGGACAATAATCGACGGTGCACATCATTATACCTCGACGTCAAACCTCCCGCTCAGATTGTCTCACGTGCCGGAAAAATACCAAGCCAAGTGGGCGCGAACCAAGGATACTTATACCCTTGGTTCTTAAACGACCACCAACGCCAGGCACCTATCCGACTGAGCCAATCTGTCGGTAATATTTCTTATTTAAAAGAAAGAAGTTTTCATTTAAGTATTAGCGCAATAATTTTTTTATAACCCTACTTGGTTTTCCCCAAAATAACATTAGACGGTTTGAACCCGTATAATCCTTGAAATGACAAATTAGTTTGAAGCGTCAAAGTGTTTAGAATGTAATAATGTGTAGTGACTTTTCTTCATAACTTCCCCTGTAGAACGAATTTCGCGATTTTGCGCATATTGTTGGAAAAATCAACTCAAATGCAATGTTTTTGCTGAACAATGAACATTGTAACAAAATTTGACCAAAAGATTCGAAGTTATAAGCAATTTAAAAAAAATGTTGTCAAAGTTGATCATGGTTGCCAAAGTTGAGCCACTGTAGAAAATCAGTTAAATATTTAGGTAAATAATTAAAAATTACCTTCGAATGATAGAATGACACTTGGGAATGAGGAAAGGAACCATGAAATTAAAATAAAATCCCATATCCCGTGTAGAAATTGCAATGTGGCACGGTTAGGGACCGTAGAAGTTTACCCTTTTAATATTAAGGACCAAATAGGGCAAATGGCTAGGGACCCCACCAGGGGTGGGATCACGCTTAGAGATGGCGCTATGTAGCTCTTTTTGCTATTTAAAACAAAAAAGTTACATTTTTTTTAGAAACTTATTGAAAATTAATTTTACAGTCCTATCCAATTGGTACTTTTATAAAAATTGTAAAGAAAATGTATTACGATGTTATTTTGTTTGGATTTGTAATTTTAGTGAGATCTTATTTTGTTTTTTGAAAAAATCCATTCATATAATTTTGTAATTATTTATTAGCTTTCGCCTGTCGACGACAGGCATCCTCAGATAATTTTAAACTGATCGCATTTAGTTTATTGTCTACCGTGCCAATGTGGAGCTTGCTACATTGGTGAGACTGGTAGATATATTAACCCTAGAAGGAGTAACTGGGATGTCTGGACACCCCAAGCAAAATTCAAAATATTCCCATGGCTTAACCAATAATTTTTTTACGCTCAAAACCCGTTGATAATTTATTTTGAACCTCTATTGTTTAACACCTGTATGTGCCGCCAAAAGTTTTGCTCTAGGAAGAGCTCTATCTCCTGTTAAAATACGTCTGGGGTGTCTGGACACCCCAGTTACTCCCTAACGTTAGAAAAATTGTCAAGATAAGTAAATTCAAATTTTTTTTAAAAATCGTTTTTAATCAATTAAAATCATCTGATAAAGTATAAATTAATAGGTTATGCATGAAAAAGTTGTATTTTATAAAAAAGAAACATTTTTATACAAAAATTCTATTTTTATGAAAAATAGATATTCTGTATTTATATTAACTTATGAAATTTGTTCAGAATGAATGAAAATTTTTGTAAAGGAATGACTCATTGCGAAATATAGAAAGAGGTAAAAGGTGTGATGGCCTTGATTGACGAGCATTTTTAGAGAGAAATTAGTCTCTCATAAGAGTTAATGATAAGTGGTTGAATTATTACGACGAACAAATTCGAATATTGAACTTGCAATTATTAATATAAATGTGGAGTGCTTTTCTTTATTTTAAATCAAATTGTGATAAATAAATTATTTCGAATTTCAAATTTAAGGAACTGTGTTTTATTTGTTTAATTAACATTGACAATTACTTTAGTATTTTATTGAGAAATTTTATTTTGAACTATACGCAACAAGATTTACTATTACAATTACTTGGCTTGATGCGTATCTATGGCCCTTCGAGCCGGATCCTTGTGTAATATTAGTGAAGTTACTACGAGGAATTGAACTTTTTAGTGTTTATGAATGAGAGACTTAACAATTTTATTGAAATTACCACTTATCATGAACATTTGAACTTATTGAAAATTGAAACGACTTGACTACACTCTAGTCAAGATATCTGAACAACAACCTCCTGATCATAAATGAAATACAACTACAAAAAGGGCCCAAAAATACTACATCCTGGGATTACAACGTATTGAGCATCACAATTTCTTCATCTTGGTCCAGTATTTGGCATTATCACGGTGATACTTGGATGTTCCCACTGAATTTTTGGATTTTCTACAGCGATAATAATTTGAGGATTTTATAACCAACTTCTTTTCAACGGCTGTTGCTGGCTCATCAATTGCGAAGATACGTAAGCTCATTAGTATAATTGATTGTTTGTTTATTGATTGTAACCTTGCTATTGTTATAAGTTTGTTTTTGGTATGGCTTCTAATTTAGAAAATGCTCGTCGAAAGCGAACGAATTGCAAGACCAGTTTAACTAAATTTAATACTTTTTTTATCAAAATTGGCGGATCCCAATCAAGCTCAAATAATTGGTGTTGAGGAGATTCGATTACGGTTAAAAAAGATAGAAGAGGGTTGGGATGAGTACGATAAAGCACAAACTTTTTTAGAAATAAAGGCTCCAACTCGTAAAGCAGAGCGCGGGGAATTTGAAGACGAGTATTTTAGATAAGTAGCAGTTGCAGATAAATTCATTAACATGCTTTCCCCTCAAAATTAATCTACAGCATCCAATGTTGATGACCAAGAACTCTTGCAATATCGTTCGCGTATCGCGCAGCTCGAATCCGATCTTATTGCGCAGCGACAAGCTGAAATTGAAAATCTTAGGGCCATGGTGGGGTCACGTGCCATCACACCTTCCAGTGATATGACAAGTATTAGGGTACACTTCCCACTACCGAAACTTGATCTCCCCACTTTCGGCGGTAATTACGATGAATGGCTTGGTTTTAAAGATTCGTTTGTAGCTATCATTCATAACGATGACTCGATCCCGAAAATACAAAAGCTTAGATATTTGAGATCGTACATAAAGGGAAATGCTGCTCAAGTAATTGACAATTTACAAACTACGGAGGCTAATTATGATGTGGCCTGGCAGCTCTTAGACGAACGATACAATAATTATAGAATTATAAAACAAAATCATATGCAAGGGATCTTAGAGCTGTCATCACTGAATAATAAAGACTCTGTCGCGAATTAGAGAAAACTAGTCGAAACGATTCTTAAACATGTTCTCGCCTTGAACGTACTCGGAGAACCAACAAGTCAATGGGACAAAATCACAAAATTAGATAAAGAAACACGTCGAGAGTGGGAAGGATCGATTAAAGGAATTGACATGCCAAAGTTTGATAAGTTGATTGAATTTTTACGTGAAAAATGTCAAATTTAGGAGTCAATTAATATAGAAACATCAGACCAAAATTAAAACAATTTGAGATCAGGCAATAAAAATATTGTAAACAATAATAAAAAATATTTGGGCAAAAATCTTGTAAATGTTCAATCGGTTATTAATTGTATAAATTGTAAGGAAAATCATAGTATTAGACAATGTGAAAAATTTATAAAATTATCAATTAGTGAAAGATTTCAATTTGTAAAGAACAAGGGGTTATGTTTCAATTGTTTGGGTGGTAATCATTTAATCAATGAGTGCAAATCTGGAAATTGTAATAAGTGTCATCGCAAACACCATACATTACTACATATGGAATCTCGCGCTAAATCTACAACCGAATCTGATAAAGAAGTTCCACCCTTAAATATGTATAGCCATTTAAATGTCCAAAATTTATCAGAAGTTCTTTTGTCAACCGCCTTGATCGATATTATTGATAATGAAGGAAAAAGTCATGTGTGTAGGGTTCTGCTCGATAGTGGCTCTCAACCTAATTTATTAACAAAGGATTTAGCTGATCGATTGAAATTGAAAAAGAGAAAATTAGAATCATCGGTTGAAGTCATAAATAGTCAACAGCTTTCTTGTAATGAATGGGTTTCCGCGAAAATTGAATAAAAAAAATCGAATTATAATGTAGAACTTGATTTCCTTGTACTTCCTAAAATTACTGATCTGGGATACTGGGATTGCTGGGTACATACCCAGCAATCCCATAAATAAAAAAATCCTTAACATTCCTGATCGTATTCAACTTGCTGATCCATACTTTGATAGGCCAGCAACAATTGACGCATTAATAGGAGGAGATTTATTTTATGACCTATTATTGACAGAACGAGTTAAACTTGCTTTACCACGAACAATGCTTCAAAATTCACACTTGGGTTGGATAGTGACAGGAAGAGTTGGATGTGCCCAAGGTCATAAGGGTTTAAAGTCAAATTTGATCAGAGATCCATTGGACAATTTGCTGCAAAAACTCTGGGAAATAGAGCATCTTGAAGATAAACAACATCTTTCATCTGAAGAAGAAGAGTGCGAACGTCATTTTTCATTGAATATTGGAAGGGACGAAGACGGTCGCTACGTGACTCATCTGCCATTCAATGAGAAGGTTCAGGATTTGGGATCAAATTTTGAATTGGCGAGAAAACGATTCTTTGCAATGGAACTTCGATTGGATAAAAACAAGAACTTGCGTGATCAATACAATTCATTTATGAAGCAATATGAAGACCTCGGACGCATGGTACGTTTGCCTTTTATAGACAAAAAGAAATATTTTATTCCACATCATGCCATATTTAAGGAGAACGATTCAATAATCAAATTCAGGGTAGTCTTTGATAGATCAGCTGATTCGGATTCTGGACTCTCTCTGAATGATGTACTACAAATTGGACCAAATATTCAAGATGGAATATTTGAAATAATTCTTCGTTTTCGGAAACACATTTTCTTATTCAGCGGTGACATCGAAAAGATGTACCGACAATTTTTAATTCATCCTGAGGATTGTCGGTATCAGCTGATTCTTTGGCGGGCAAGTAGTAGGGAACCATTGCAGGCATTTCAACTCAGGACTGTGACATATGGGACATCAGCAGCACCTTACCTGGCAACTCGCTGTTTAAAACAGCTTGCAATAGACGAAGAAGAAGATTTTCCTGATGCTGCTGAAGTGCTAAGGGATGACCTTGTGGAATTGGTAGGAAAAGCTGGATTGCAACTGCGAAAATGGACAGCAAATGACGAGAGACTGCTTCAGGGTTTGCCGAATTGTGGTGAAAAGGGTGATCAACAGCTCTGCAAGGATCAGGTTAACAAAATGTTGGGTGTTGCCTGGAACTCTGTGGAAGATGCCTTTCAATGCAAGGTCAATGTGAAACCGATGAATGATCTTATTACAAAGAGATCAATTTTAGCACAGATTAATGAATTATACGATCCTTTGGGTTTGCTTGCACCAGTCATTGTCTACGGGAAGATGCTGCTTCAGGACCTGTGGAGACTGAACATTGGTTGGGATAATCATGTTCCCGACGAATTATCATCTGTTTGGCGAGCGTATCGTGATCAGCTAAATTTAACATCTGAATGGAAACTTCCACGCTCGATCAAGGTCACGTCCTCGAATGCGCTTCAGTTGCATGGGTTCGCTGATGCCAGCGAGAAAGCGTATGGGGCATGTTTCTATGTTCGAGCATCAAATGATCAACACACTTCATCGGTACTCTTGTGCGCTAAATCACGAGTAGCGCTAGTTAAAAAGATTACCATCCCTAGATTGGAATTGTGTGTTGCAACACTTTTGGTCAAACTGCTAAAAACAGTCATTTCTACGATAAATTTACAATTTTCCAAGATCATACTGTGGTCAGATTCCACAATAGTCTTAAATTGGATTAAAACATCTCCTCGTTCTCTACAAACTTTCGTTGCCAACAGGGTGAGTGAAATTCAGTCAGTTGATCAAGATGTGGAATGGAAGCACGTTCCAACCAAGGACAATCCTGCTGATCTCATCTCGAGAGGTCAGCTACCCCGTGACTTCGTTGAGAATAACTTTTGGAATCGAGGTTCCAGAAAGAAAAAAAGTGGTACTGCTGATAACTACTAAGATTAATCGATCAGAATTGTGGAAACGTATTTCTTCGCTCAATGGATTGATCAGATTTGTTGCATTGTGTTTGAGATTTATCAAGAAGTGGCGAACAAAATCTATAAGCACTGATTCATTTGTGGAAGAGCATAGGAATGCACTGAAGAGAATAATACAGCTGATCCAGCATGATGAGTTTCATGAAGAGATGAAAGCATTGAACAACGAGCGAGAGGTATCAACGAGATCGACGATTTTTACTTTAAATCCATTTGTGGAAGACGACACGCTACAAGTGAGAGGACGAATAAAAAATCTGACCTTGAATACAATCAGAAACACCCCATCCTGCTTCCCAAAAAACATCCCCTAACTGACCTCATTGTACGAGAAGCTCATGAAAAAAATATGCATTCGGGGCCGAATGCAACTTTGAATACGTTAAGGCAACGATATTGGATAGTTGATGGTCGCAGTGTAGTTAGGAAAATTATTCATACATGTATAAGATGTTTTAGAGCGAAACCAAAAGACCCAATGTATATTATGGGTAATCTTCCAAGGGATCGAATAACAACAAGTTATCCTTTTGAACGAGTGGGAATTGACTATTGTGGCTATTTTTATATTAAAGAGAAGCGTTTCCGTAACAAGAACAAAATAAAGGTGTATGCGGCAATATTTGTGTGTCTCACGACTAAAGCAATACATATAGAGCTTGTTTGCGATTTAACGACGGAAGCCTTTATAGGTGCACTTCGCCGTTTTTTCGCTAGAAGGGGAAAGTCGAAAATTATATATTCCGATAATGGGACAAATTTTTTGAGCACTGATAGAGAGTTGAAGGAACTTCACAGTCTTATAAATTCTGAAAAACATAATAATACCATAAAAGATCATTTTAATAATCAGGAAATCGAGTGGAATTTTATACCTCCCCGTATCCCGCATTTTGGGCGGCTATGGAAATCCGCTGTGAAGTCCCTTTAACACCACATGCGCAGGACGATAGGGGAAACATTGTTTGCATATGAGGAGTTGTCAACCTTTATGTATGAGATCAACCCATTGACGGGTGGTCCAGGCAAATGCGAGTACTCCTAATCTCAAAAAGTCGTTCTGTAGAAACGCAAAACTAGTTGGTATATAAGAGTGTGTGTTCTGACAGTTGGCCTAGCTTCAAGTCATTTAATAAGAAAAAAAATGTATGAGATCAAAGCTGTCTTGAACTCGCGTCCGCTCACTCCGATGTCAAGCGAACCGACTGATTTGTGAGTGTTGACACCGGGACACTTCCTCATTTAAAACCGCTTAACACAATACAAAGTGATAATTTTACAGATGTATCGACGAACCGCCTTTCTGTATGGCAACACATACAGAAATTAAAAATCGATGTATGGAAGCGTTGGAGTCAAGAATACTTGACTGAAATGAATGTAAGATCGTAATGGTTTAAGGGAGAGTCGGAAAAAATTGAGGTTGGAAGATTGGTTGTTTTGAGAGAAGAAAATTTGCCTCCATTACGGTGGCTGCTAGGTAGAATTGCCGAAGTGCATCCAGGTGATGACGGCGTGATTAGAGTAGTAACTGTAAGAGGGAAAAGGTGTGATGGCCTTGATTGAAGAGCATTTTCAGAGAGAAATTAGTCTCTCATAAGAGTTAATGATAAGTGGTTGAATTATTACGACGAACAAATTCGAATATTGAACTTGTAATTATTAATATAAATGTGGAGTGCTTTTCTTTATTTTAAATCAAATTGTGATAAATAAATCATTTCAAATTTAAGCAACTGTGTTTTATTTGTTTAATCAACATTGACAATTACTTTAGTATTTTATTGAGAAATTTTATTTTGAACTATACGCAACAAGATTTACTATTACAATTACTTGGCTTGTTGCGTATCTAAAATTACAGTTAAGATTTATTAAAAATTTCTGTGCTCTCTCTACAGTCAGAAATTAAATTCTAATACAGAAAAGCGTAGTATATGATAGTCAAATTTAAATTATAAATTCTATATTGTTAATAATATTTTAACATATATTAGAGAATTGTTAATTAAAACTTTGATTAAATATTAATTTACAGAATCATTTCATAAGTTATTAATTTTAATGTTAATATATTCAGATATATTAAGTTTGTAAAATTTTAAATTTATAACACCATTTTTAGTAAATATTAATTGTTTAAGACCATTTTATAGTTCATTTTTATGATTTTCACTATTCGTCAATTGTCTTTAATTTCTTTCACTTCAGATACGTTCAAATAATTATGTTTTTTGGAAGTAATACAAAAACTAATTTTTTCCCCTAAAAGTATCTATTTAACTTTAAAAACCTAAAATAGTTTTTAAATTAGTCAAATTTTTAAGGAACTACGTTTTTTGTGAAAAAAGTAAATTTTGCAACTTTTTGGGTTTTTATGGTTTTTTTCAAAATTTTTTGATTTATAAAAATATGAATAATATTATTGTAGTCCTTACTAAAAAACCAATCAATTCACTATAATTAATTTTTTTACGTCAAATATAAACCTTATAAAACAAGTTTAAAGCGTGGGGTGTCGGGACACCCCAGTTACTCCTTAGAGGGTGAGTAAATTAACGTACTCCTTCTAGGGTTAAAGACAGATTAAGTGGACATAAGAGGGATTGTAGAAACGATAGTAGAAAAACAGCTTTGGTCACTCATGCACATGAAAATGACCATCTATTTAATTTCGAAGCAACAAACATCATTTGCAACGAACGCAATTACAGACGAAGGAAATTTAGAGAGATGTTTCACATTCTCAGGTCCGAAAACTCTGTTAATAAACAAACTGATTTAAATAATTTAAATCACACGCAGAAAAATGCGATTGAAAATTGTGGAGTTCAGCGCTAGTAACTTAGATTTAATGCCCAAACTTGTCTACCTTTGCGGCTCCAGGATAGAAAACAGGGAAATGAATCGTAAAAGGTTTAAAGCACGTCAGTAGGCTTAAAATGTTTTCGTTCTTATGCACACTTATACGCGGAACAAAGCAGACTAAACACATTCATAGGCGCTTCTGGGCGGAGTCCAAGGCAAGTCTAGTGCCGAGTCCCATACTGAATATAATGTGAGCAGATCTTCTATTTATTTTCAATAAATGTGTCATAACCAAATAATTATTACAATAATTAATTGCATTATTTTAGAAAATAATGATTAATTAATAAATGAATTTAATTAAAATATTAAGTAATTATTGGTTTCCGTTTCCGGTACCGGTTAAAGTAACACGTGTGGGAACGCGATCTTGAATTTTTGGAAATTTTTAGTGAATTTTTATCAGAGGGAGGGTTTTGAGTGAAGTTTTGAGTTGTGTGAGGTGTTTCTATTGGAATAATTGAAAATTTGGGGAAATTAGGGGAAAGGGTTGTGTGATATAAGTGTGAAAAGTGAAGCAGGGAAGTGAAGGTTAGGTGTTGCGAGTGGGGAGAGTGAGTTAGGTAGTAAAGGGTTAAGTAAGTAGTGAGGGGTGAAAAAGATAAGGGGGGTGGAATTTAAGGGTGAGGGGGTTGAGGGGTGGTTCCAAGAACGGTATAAGGGGTGTAAAGTTGTTAAAGGGGGAGTGTGTGGAGAAAAGAATTGGCGCTTTTGACTGGTGTGGTGTGTAGGTAAGGCAGTTATGGCGTTCTTAGAAAGGTCTCCGATAAAGGACCGTAGAGGGCAGGAGGTTACGGATGAAACGAGCGAGCCAAGCGAGTCAAGAATTGGTGAAAAGTGTGGGAAAGGAAAGAAATCTGATATGGCTGTAGCAGTAATTGATAGCGTGGGGAAATTTAATAAGAAATTAGCAGTGCGAAGGGGTAGGAAGTCAAAAGCAGAGCTGTTAGGCTTGGAAGACCCGGGTGAGTCGCCGGCTAGGATGCATGCGTGGCTACGGTCAGGGGATTTAAACAGCAAAGCGGTTAGTGAGGGGTCGAAAAGTGATGAGGAAAAAGAGGAAGAGGGGGAAGAAGGGGGATGGATGGAGAAAATGCTGAAGATGGGGGAGCAAACAAACCGGAATATTGCGGAATTAAGTAAAAAAGTGGATTGTGGATTGGATAGGGTGGGGGGAGAGCTAGTGGGACTGAAAAGGGTATGGAGAGAATGGGAGGCAAAATGGGAGGAGGAAAAGGAAATAATTTGGGGGAGGCTCGAAGAATTGGATAAGGGACAAAAGGACGAAAATGAAGAAGTTAAAAAAGAGATGAACGACTTAAAGATAAGGGTAGAAGGGTTGGAAAATGAATTGGGTAGAATTAAGGGGGAGAGTGAAAAAAGGGAGGGACAAAAAGGTGGGGGGGTAGGGGAGGGTTTAGAAAAAAAGGTAGACAATTTAGCATGGAAGTTGGGGCAATTGGAGAGGGAGAAGAGGAGGAACAATATTTTGGTAAGGGGATTAAAAATGACAGAACTTGGGAGGAGAGAAAGATGAATTGGAAGATTAATGAAAAAGTCTGGGAGGAAAGGAATAAAGGTAACACCGTAAGAAGGGGGAAGGATTGCGTGTGGATTAATGGGGAAAGGTGGGGAGTTAATTGGGAGACTGGGGAGTTAAATAAGAATGAAAGGGAAAAGGGTTTTGGGGGTATGGGGGGAGAGGTGGGGAATTAACGGAGAAGGGGGGGAATAAAAGTTGTGTTTTGGAACATCTCGGGATTGAAAAATAAGGATGACGGTTTTTGGAAGGATATTGGTAAATGGGATGTGATAATGCTAAGTGAGACTTGGGTTGAAGATAAGGATTGGGAAAGGGTCAAAAGCAGATTGCCGAAGGAATTTATTTGGGAATGTCAAGGAGCAATAAAGGAAAAGGTAAAGGGTAGGAGTGCGGGTGGTATGGTATCGGGGGTGAGAAGGGAGTTAAATATAAAAGAATTGATGGGTGGAGGTAACAAGGAGGATGGTTGTATGGTGAGGGGGGTTAAGTTTGGAATGGAAAAATTAACGGTGGTAGGGATTTATAGAAGAAGAGGGGAAAGAAGGGGCTGGAGACAGCTGGAAGAATGGATTGAAAAAGGGAAGGGGGAAAAGATTCTGATAGGGGGGGACTTTAATGCTTAGACTGGAGAACTGGGAGGAGGGGAGTGGAGTGAAGAGGAGGAAAAGTATAAAAGGGTGTCCAAACATAAGGAGATAGACAAGGAGGGAAGGAAGTTGATTAGCATTATGGAGGAAACGGGGTGGGAAATATGTAATGGAGGCATTGAAGGGGATAAAGAGGGAGAGTTCACATTTATAGGGAGGGGGGAAACGGTTATAGATTATGTAATGACGGATGGGAGGACGAAGAGTAATATTAAGCGGATGAGGGTGGGGGTTGAGGGTGGTTCGGGACACTTTCCATTGATAGTGGAAATGAAAGGAAGAAAGGAAAAGTTAAAGAAAAAGATAGGAAGTAAAAGGGTTAAAGTCAGAATGGGAAACTGGGGAAAGAAAAGCGTAGTGGATTTTGAAAACAGGATGCAAGAGATGGAGGAAAGATTTAAAGCAGAAGCAGGGGTAAATGAAAGAGTTGAGAGATTAAGATGCGTGATGGAGGAGGTGAAGGGGGGCATAGAGGAAGAAGAGAACAGAACGAGGAGGAGCAGAAAGGGTTGGTGGGATGAAGATTGTGTCAAAAGTAGGGAAAATTTGAGGAAAACGGTAAAGGACTGGAGGGGGGGTAGAATTAAAAAGGAAGAATATAATAGGATTCATAGGGAACATGGGAAGTTAATAAGAGGAAAAAGGGAGGAGGGTAGGATAAGATTTATGAAGGAAGTGGAAGCGGCAATAAAAGAGGGCAAGGAGTGGGATATAATAAACAGGGAAAGGAAAAGAAGACGAGGTTTGAACAGAGAGATAGAAATGGGAACATGGACGAATTATTTTAAGGGTCTAAGTGGAGGGGTAGGGAGTAGAATAAGGGGGGAGGGAAGGAGAAAGGACATAGGGAGGGATGAGAAACAAATTACCAAGGAGGAGATAAGCGAAGCCATAGACAGACTTAAAAGAAATAAAGCGGCTGGGGGGATGGGATGGAAGGGGAATGTTTAAAATATGGTGGGGAGGTGGTGACGGATGAAATGTGGAAAATTGCGAATTTGGTGTGGGAGGGGGAAGGGTGGCCAGAAGAGTGGAAAACGGGCTTAATAGTTTCAATTGTAAAAAAGGGGGAGGGAGGGAAGGTGGAAGATTATAGGGGGGTAACTCTGATGCCTGTCGGGTATAAGGTGTATGCGGAGGTGGTTAGGAAAAGGTTGGAAGAAGTGGTGGAAAGAATGGGGCTAATTCCGCATAATCAGACAGGATTTAGGGAAGGGATGGGGACGGTAGATAATATATTCGCATTAAATTTTTTGGTAAACAGAAGCATTAAAAAGGAGAAAGGGAAATTAGTGGCGGTGTTTGTTGATTTTAAGGCGGCCTTCCCATCGGTTAACAGGGGGATTTTGTGGAAGACTTTGAGAGATTTGGGTATAGGGCAGGGGTTAATAGAGAGAATTAAGGAATTTTATGAGGACACCAGGGAAAAGGTTAAAATTGGGGAAGAGTTGGGGGAGGAGTTTTGGTTGGGTAGGGGGTTAAGGCAGGGCTGCCCCCTTAGTCCAATC